GTGTCCTCGCCCTCCCGGCGCTGCGGGGGGAGCCGTGCTGGCGGGGGCAGGTGGCTCTGCCGGCGGGCTGAGGGGGCGTCGCGGCGCCCTCTGCCTCCCAGCCCCGCTCTCCGGGGGCTTCCGCGGGCGCCGACTGCAAAGCGAGGGCTGGGGAAGCACGAGTAAACAGTAATGACAATAATTACCCGCATCGCAACGAAACCTCATTTCTCCTCCCCCTCCCCACCCGCTTAAATGCCCTGGTAGGTTCGTTTTTTTGGAAGCGCACCCTAACGTGGTTTCAGGATTGCTCTCCCAGAGTTTATTCTGAATCTGGTCATCTGGTCGCTCGTCAAGGGCTGTATCACTCTGGGGATGGAGAGTAAGTCCTCAGATGCGCAAGGGTAGCTATGCCGAGTATGTTATTTGTCAGCTGATAAATGACATGGTAATTCCCTGAGAAGTCTTTATTTAAAAAACGATAATGAGCGTGGTGTAGACTCAACCCTCTGGAAAGTTGCATCAGCAGCCATAGATCCAGTTACATATGGAGAGGGGGTGGTTTCTGCCAAATTGTACGCATCTGACTTTCAACTGAAGAGTTAACGTGTTGTGGAAATTTTTTGTTTTCTTAGTTTCCTTCATAGTTTTCTTCATTATTTCATGTGTTATTTCTTTAACAATTTTCTTTTGGTAAACAAATATGCTGTACAGCAGCTTTTTTTTTTTTTTTTTTCCCTTCTCTCTTCTCATGGAAATGTCCTTTGTAGATGATGTGCAGAGAAATTTGTTATTCTGCCTTGAACCCTTGGCTCCAAAAGGGGCTCTTGTTAGAACTGCTGTGGTATCCAACTCTCCAGCAGAGAGAACTGGATTTAGAGTTTGAGAAGAGCATAGCTGAACTCCGTGTTATTAATCTGTTTTCCCCTCTTGAAAATGCAGTACTCTTAAATGGACTACTGTATCACCTCGGTTGTTTCACTTTGATTGTGAGCTGATGCTGCATATGAAGTGCTCGAACTCACTGAAGCAAGAAGGTGGACAGAGCTCTTCATGGCTATTATAAAGCACTTCATAAATATCTGTTGTAAGGCATGTGCAGATTGTCAGAGAAAGAATGTTACTAACAGAATGGGATTTTATCAAACAGTTTAGCAAGCCCTTTCTAATAGCCTGTGTGTTCCCTTTGACTTTTCTTCCCCCTGCTCTGGCATGAATAAGTTTGCACGTGAAACACGGTGGTTAAAACTTCACAATCTCTGACATCAAAAACAGCACAGTTGTTTCTGGTTGACCTCTTGGTGACCAGCTGTTACAGTTGACAGGCCATGCAGATACCCCATCAGCAAGGTAGATTTCTTGTTCCTGCAACCGTCCAGAGCATGGGCTTTCTTGGCAGATCCTGGGGCACATGCATGCAGCATTTGTTTTGGTGGCTTTTCTACTGGGGCTCCCTCTCCTTCTGCTTCCTTTAGGACAAACTAAGAATGTTCTGGCTCTCACACAAGACTCTACTGAAATCGGAAGCTGCAAATCCAGTGGTTAGAATCTAATTCCACTTTGTTGATATGCGAGAGCTGTGGGAGAAGAAAGAAAAATGGGAGGTTGAAGCAGCAGATTACCTCATTAGGGCTCTTAGGAGTGACCTGCATTTTTCTGTTGTCTCAAAATTTTACTTCATTTCTTTCTTAACTTTCAATAACATAGAGAAGGCTCATCTTCAAAAAGTGCAGGACTTCATTCTGTGAAACCAGGCCTTGTCCTGTTGCGTCAGTTTAAGGTATCCAGTTCGCCAAGCTGGTATTTTTTCTTTGTTTTCTTCAGTACCTTGGTTGTCCTATTTGTACAAGTCAAGTGAAAGAACACAGGGTGGAGGGATGGGGGCGGGGATTTAAGATGCTTGATTAGCAAGATTACACATGCAAACATTAAGTGTTTAGTAAAAGGCTGGGAGTTCTGTCCAACTCCTAGAAATCATTCTGGAATCTGGAAATGTAACTGTTGAGATAATAACATAAAACATGGTCTCCATAGCAAGCATATGATTTAATTACGCTGCCTTATGAAAAGCCTTCGGCTACTAGATACAACTAAATTATACTGGTAACTATACTTCTGTTAATCTCACTTGACAAGTGTCAGGTTATTGCAGTATGAAGCAGCTGGCATACGCATGATGCATCAGAGACTCCAGATAGTGGAAAATTTCCTTAACTTATTTGTGGATTTTTTCTTTTGTTAGGTATTATTAGAAGCACAGAAAGAACTAGTGGACTACAAAGGACTCGGTATCAGTGTTCTTGGTAAGACTTTAAAAATACTATATTTTTTCAGAATGCACATATTTAACCAAATTGTTTAATAAGAGTTTTAGATCTTGGTATTTCAGCTCCTTTTCTAATACCTTATTCTGGTAACATGTATGTACAAAGAATACTTTTTCATACTGCTTTTCTACTATTCATCAGGAGACCATAAAATTATACATAGCCAGATGTTTAGTGATCCAAAACAAAGGCCTAGAGGCAAAAAAGATAACTAATTATATGTAAAACACTAGAACTTTTGGATCTTTGGGCAGGGATGTGTGTGTATATATGTATATATACAGGCAATATATAAAAAAGATTTTATATATATCTATAGAATACTATATATGTATACATGTATGTGTATGTGTGTGTATATGTATGTATATAGATACCATATATAGTATCTTATATACTATGTAGCAAAACGCTTCAGATGTATTTGATGTACAGCATTCTTCCCATTAGGAAGGCCACGTCCTCCTGTCATAAGGAGGAAGTGTCTTCTGTGCCATAGGGTAGCTGACTGGCTTTTCAGCCCCAGTTGCACATGAATTTTATGCAAGAAGATGGTCAGTGTTTTGCTAGTCCTGTGAAACTGTTTAGTTGGTAAAAGTAGAATGTGCAGCAGTCTCTGCAGGATTGGGATTCATGTTTAAATTGTACACTCTTATAAAAGGAAGAAAGAATATGGATTTAATAAAAGGAATTAATATTAAGTGTCCTTAACATTTAATTAGGATTACTGCATGAAGAAGCCTTGTTAAAAATAGAAGAACAAAACAGACCCCTGTACCTTACGCTATACTTGCTACAGCACTAGTAGCAGAGAACATTCTTAAAGTGGGGAAAACTTACACCTTTCTAGGGAGTATTTTTTCATGCAGATGTAGTTGTTCTTGGGGGTAGTAAGGTCATGTGGATGCCAAATGTGAATGAACTGGATTTGCCTGGATCTGGACAAGACTGGAGGTGTAAGTCTTGTGGGGGTATTTAGGAAGTCTCAGCAAAAAAAAAAATAGGAGTTGGAACTGGGTATGGGAGCCTTCAGGCATTTTTGGTCTGTAGTATAAAGGGTTTAAAGCTTAATACAATTTTTAAATTGCATTCTTTTATTACTGTTTTGTTTCATGTTATTTTTTCTTTCCTTTCCACCAAAGAAATGAGCCATCGGACCTCAGATTTCACAAAAATTTTAAATACAGCTGAAAATCTCTTGCGTGAATTGCTGTAAGTGAATTACTTCCTGCTTATTTTTGCTTTATGCTTGTGCTAGTTGCACCAATAATGACTAATGTGGAGAGCTTTCCTTGAAAACATCTGTTTGTGTGGTTGGTTTTTTTGTTTAGATACTGTGTCTGGTAAAGTAATAATCTCGGAGAGGGCATTGGTCTTTTGTCTGTCTGATGCTGATTTATTTGAATGTGACAAAGGGCTTTTATTAGGTTAAGATGCTTTTCATGTGTTTACTATACACTGAGTAGTTTTCTGTCTTCTGAAATTTTAATTTTTGCCACCTTCATAGAATTCATGAAGGGCAGTAACTTTCTTCAAGAATAAGTAGAAACAATAGAACTCAGTTCTCTAGTGGTATAGACGTGATCTGTACATTACTCATCAGTCTGATTTACTAATGTAAACTCTATGGATGTGTTTTGGAATCACTGCTCAGGAGCCCTTTTTCTATTTGTAGTGTTACACATTTTTAAAAGTTTGAAATAAATATATTGTGTGTTAGAATTAATGTTCTCATGGTAGTTAATAATGATGGTCATTTCATATAAAACATTGACTCGCAGTCACAGCCAGAATTATTGTCAGAGGGATTTTAATGAATAATTTGAACAAGTAATTTTTGTGACTGTATGAAAAACTCCTTATGGCACTTGCTCTGCAAGTACAATTTACTGTACAGTTGCACTTGCAAATTAAAGGGTCTCAAAGCTGAATTCTACTGTGAGTACTTTGGTGTGAAGTTCTTAGACTGACAGAAAAGGCATGAAGCTAGCAATACACAAAATTACAAGTGAACACTTATTCTGCTAGAACATCTTTCAAGTTTGTCTGTACTATGATAGTAGAGCTACTCAAGAGTGAATTTGTTTAATGCTGTCCAAGGGGAAAAAAGCTTGTTTTCAGCAAATTTTTATCAGTAAAATGTATAGCATTTCTCTTAATGCTTAAGTTGTTATTCAAGACCAGTGCTGTGGTAAGTTAATAGGATTTGGTCTAACCTCTTGGCAAAGAGTCTTCTAAAATGACAGTGTTCTTCCTCAGTTGCTGTTAAATGCATAATACCAAGTAGTATACATCCTGTGTCTTCTGGGAATAATATAAATGTTTTTTTCTTGCATGCAGAAATATACCAGAAAACTACAAAGTTATGTTCCTCCAAGGAGGTGGATCTGGTCAGTTCAGTGCAGTGCCACTTAATCTCATCGGTTTAAAGGAGGGAAGACATGCAGATTATGTGGTTACTGGGGCTTGGTCAGCAAAAGCAGCTAAAGAAGCAGAGAAGTATGCCAAAGTTAATATTGTTCATCCAAAACTAGGAACCTATACAAGTAAGTTGATGATTACATCCATCCATGTGAATGCTTAGCTTTTTGAATCACTCTAAAAATTGGTACAACTCAGCTGTAAGGTTATTGAATATTAACTGGTTACAGAGTTGACTGCCCAGCACTCAAAAGATCGCCTGCCACATCTCTCCATGTTCATTGCTGGGAGATCTGTTAGACGGCTTAACGGTCTACACTAGAAAAGTATCGTGAAAATAAGTGGCAAGAAGCAAATGTGTATCAGTAGGGAAATGGTCTGGGCTGTCTTGATTTTTTTTTTTTTTTTTTTTGTTATTTGACTGAGTTCTTAAGCTATTTGCAGGAATATTGCGAGGTATTTCAGTTTCAGGTAAACTCAATAATGAGATTGCTCTGAAATGCAGAAGCATGCCTGGGATCTTAACCTTGTTGGCCCAGGAGATGGGAGACCTGCATTCTGTTACCTTCTTTCAAGGGTTCCCAGATACTTATCTTCCCCACCCAGGTGTCATAACAAGCAGTTGGCTCTGGAATAGAAGAGGCATTTTTGACTCCTCTTGAAGCTTATTACTGGACATGACATAATCTGAATGACCGCAGTGTAGAGGGAAGAAAAAGGTTAACTGTAATTGGGGCATTGGGAATTTTTATGAGAGTCTGTTTCAAGAACATTTTAAGTGTATAATTTCTCACTGGATATACATAATTAACTACTGGAGCAGGGGCATGTGAGTTCTGGTTTCTACTGCTGCTAGTCATGCTTACTTTTCTTCCCTCTGGTCCAAATTATAGCATTTGAACTGGGAAGAGTGGCAACAGGAAAGACAAAGAATATCCCCACGTGAGTTTATGTATTAACTGGTGATTAGGGCACTAATTTGGAAGATAAGTTTATATCCTCTGAGGCACAGCGAGGAATTGAACCTACAACTTCCCAGTCTAGGGGAGTGTATTTACCATTTGGCAGCTGTAGTTAAGGGGAGAGGCAGTAAATAATGGTGGAGGCAATAACAGCACTTCTTCCCCCTCATGTTTGGGAGGAGAGAAGAAAGGAAGAGCAACCATTTGTTCTGTGCAAAACCTGTTCTGTGCTGTCAGGGCATGCCGGTATATTGCCTGTTGACAGAGGAAATCCTAGTTTTGTAAATCAGTTGCAAAGCTTAAATGGGAGGCAGGTAGGTAGGTAACCTTGTGTTCAGCATGGACAGGACCGAAATTCTTCTGGGCATGCACAGAAACATAGCTTTGGAGAACTTTGCCAGTGGGAATTTGGATGCTTCAGTGGTTCCAAAGGCATCAGTGCCTGAACTCCTCTGAAGCGCTCTTTTGGACCCATAGGGCAGTAGTTTGTAGTCTGGGATTGCAAAGCCGATGAAAATCCCTTGAGGAATAAGGGCCAAAAACCAGAAGGGTGTTTGCCAGCTTTATGATGGCTCACCACAGAATTTTGGGAATGCACTGGTGTATTTTCCTTTGCAGATAAATTATATCTTCCTGGTAACAAGATAATTAATACTTTATACTGCAAAATCGTTCTGGGTTTGCACTGAAGTCCCATGTTCAAGTAAAATTGCATGCCAGGAAAATTGTCTCCAGTGACCTTTGGTTTTCTTTTTTGTCTATCTCAGACATTCCTGACCCAAGCACTTGGAATCTTAATCCAGATGCATCTTATGTCTATTACTGTGCTAATGAGACTGTTCATGGTGTGGAGTTTGACTTTGTACCTGATGTCAAAGGAGCAGTCTTGGTTTGTGATATGTCATCAAACTTCCTGTCCAGACCTGTGGATGTTTCCAAGGTACAGTATTGGACACAGTGGCTGCGCAAAGCATTTTCAAACTTGAGTGCATATAATTAGGCACTTTGAAATGTCTGGATGGCTGGAGATGCTGAGCAGTGAAATTAAGGAAATCTTATTTTGTTAATTGGGTACCTGATGGTGGATACAAATGTTGAAATTTAAAGTTTGAGATTTCAATGTCTATCTGTTGTCCTTTTTTTGTTAAAAACATATTGAACTACGTTGAAATTGTTCATGTTAATAGCTGTCCAAGATTATTTGTCTACTGTGTAGTCTTCACTGATGCTGTAGCTGAAAAAGATATCTTCTGAATCATATTTAGTCTGTAGATAGTGTATATGGCTGTAGCAGGGTACAATGGATCAGAATTTTTGATCCTGCCTCTTACATGGAAAATCTGTAACTCTCTTAAGCTGCCGAAGCTTCCCGTGCCTCACCATTACTGCGTCTGTTTCATAGATAATACAGAGGCAGACCATAGTACTTATGTTTGTGAAGTGTGTTATGCTAGGGAAGTGTTACTGACGAGTGAAGCAGCATGTTTGACCTTTCTTACCTGTGTGTAGCAAAAAAAAAGGGGCAATTGTTAGTGCATTCATCTTAGCCTTTCCTGATCTGCCTCTTGAACAGGTGGATTATATGATGTCTGTTCTGAAATACCAGATTGGTTGAAAATACTGTGATCTATGTATGAATTTATTTTTAGTAAATTTGCTTGGAGTAGTGTGAAATGGGGACAGGCTGCCTTGAGATTTATTTGTGGCTACTAAATAAATATTTAGCAAATCATTGTTAAATTTGTTGTGATGATCTTCCTCGGTTGAATGAAGATACATGGTTCTGATAATAGATATACATGGGATAACAACTGTACCTGTAACTGTACTTTAAGATCAGAACTTCTCCTAACTCTTTGACCTACAACTTGCTCATTTTCAATACGTTCTCCAAGCTGTTCAGCTGAGTTGTATGCCTGTTGTATAATGATACTGGTGTATTACTCAGTTATAAGATCTACTAGTGAATGCATGTAGCAAGTCCTGCTTTTCTCCTTTCTGTTAAAGTTTGGCGTGATTTTTGCTGGTGCTCAGAAGAATGTTGGCTGTGCTGGAGTTACTGTTGTAATAGTACGTGAGGACTTGCTGGGATTTGCACTGAAAGAATGCCCCGTGGTACTGGATTACAAAACACAAGCAATGAATGGCTCTTTGTATAACACTCCACCATGCTACAGGTACCTTACCCGGCCATTTAGTATCTCTTATTCAGAAAGCTACTGCACTGCCATCTGCTGCTCATATTGAGTAAAGTTTCAGAAGTTGAGTATTTGCCTTCAAGTCACTGATACTTTGGAGTGTTTCACATGATTCCTGTGAAAACATGGGAAGTGTCCAGCCGTGTGACTGTAGTAGGCTTTGATGTTGCCTAGTGGGACTCAACCATAAAGGATATAGTATTTTTAGAACTAAGTATTATATGTCATAATGCCGTTGTACAAATTTCAGGATCTAATTCTGACTTACATGAACACAACTCTAGTCAATTCAGTGGTGATGCTTCTGTCATTGCAAGTAGGTGATTTGGCACTTAGTCTTGCTTCTTGAACACTCAGTACAGATTTGATTTAATTTCTTCCTGAGGTTGTTCTCAGCATTTGAACCTCCAGATCCCTATCCCTAGAAAATATATTTTTTTTTAAAAGGCATTTTACTCATTGCTTTGCTTTATTCTCTAGAACAACTTTCCATGTTTCTTCAAGTACCGCCTCAGTGTTTGACTTTGCATCCAAACATAAAATTGGTCTGGCTTCATAATGATTGCTAGCAATTAAGATGATAAAATTGGCAGGTACATGGTGATTTCATGTATACAAGAAGCAGAACAGACTACAGCTTGCTCTTTTAAAATTACTATCTCCTAGCTTCTGATAGCTACTGAAATGTTGCTTTGCTACTGGAATATTTAGGTGTTGAGCCAGTAGTATCTGCCTGTTCTTAATCTGGAGCACTTTTATACCGATGTCCACTAAAATCGTTATTTTAAAAAAGAAAATCTTCAAACCAGGTATCCTTTTTTCCCAAAGTTTTTGTAATTACTTTGAAAATAATGATTTCAACTTTTAAAGATAAGGTTTCCTTTTGATTCAGATAATTTCATAATGCAATCTTATATTGTTGATGTTTAATCTCAGCAATTACAGGTTTTTTGTACACGCCAGAATTGGCAAACTTAACTTGCCTAATGTTGTCCAACAGATATCAAATGCACTGTATAGGCATAAAGTACAGTGAGTCCTGCGTATAAAGCCTACCTTAATGCCATTGTTTACTTAAATTCAGTAGTATTTTATGTGATACTAATTGTATCTCTGAATTTGCTGATTCTCACTATGAGGTGTACTATTGCAATGACATAGAGGCAGTTCTTTTAATTTATCAAAAGAACAGTAAAACTTGTGAACATATGTTTATTCCAGACTTTAGAATGCACAGCTAATTTTCCCAAGGAGTATGCATACTGTAAAGCAGGTAGTGCTGTATGATGTACCCTTGCTGTCAGCCTGTCTGCCCTATCAGCCGAGTATACCCAGTATTCTTAGGGCTGGTGTCTAAGACAAGAATTAGTCTTACAGTGTTTCCAGATTTTTGTCTTCTTTCTGAATGTAGCTTTGTAACATGGGCAGTATGTGTGTCTTTTTTTTTCCCCAGTGATTGATAAAACCTCTATTTCATGATCGATTATTTGCCTGACTACCAAGTCACACACAATGTTTTGGACACTGTGTACTTGCACAGGCCAGGTTTTAAATCCAGCCATTCATGTTTTCCAAGTACAAAGCTATTTCCATTTGAAAAACCACAGTTCTACTTAATCTCAGCACTGATCACAGTGTTGCTCCTCTGGTTTGAAAAGCAAAACAAATTAAATTCTGCAGCTTTATTTTAGTCACTGCAAAGAACTTCTGAAAAGAAAGTGCTGCTTAACTGTAACTCGGTATCTGTCAGTAACATTAACAGGGTAGTGGGAGATTAAGGGAGCAGAAAATAAAAGTTGAACTAACAGTCTTTCTCCTTTCTGATCCCTGTCTTGCCTGATTTCACTCCATGCTACAGACCCACACTGGAGTACACTCCAGAATCCAGAATGTAACACAGACTGAAATGTTGGCAGGGTGCACATCTGTTTGGCTTGGATCTAAATGCCTGTACCAGTTTTTGTAAGGAACTGGCAAAGCTTCTTAGTTCTTTCTCTGCTCTTTTCCTTGCACTCTCTAATGGTTTGCTGGCAAACAGGCAGGAAATATTAACTGATAGGATGTTAAATTAAATTAAGGTGATGCTAATGGCTTTAACCTCTTGGTGCTACAGAGCTTGACTTTTTGAACCTAATCTGCTTTGCTCAAATTAACAATGAATTTGCTATAAAAATTCCATTTTCAAGCTCCAAGGGTTTATTTTGCATTCAAAATTTCTCCAGAAACATTATTTTGACTGACATGAAAGAAGGATAAAAGATTTCAGCTGGCTGGCTTTTGTGAATGACTCTAAGGCTGACTTTAAACCTTACTTGTCCAAGAAGTTTCACTCGAGGAAGCGAGGGCAAGAGGTGAATGTGGCCCTGTCTATTTGGGCAGGGCCTAGGCTATACTTCACTTAAATCCTTTACACTGGGGTAGTTGACAGCATGCTGTCAAAAGTGTGGCAAGATTGTGCTCTCAAAGCTATAAGGTGCTTTGTACAAAAGGCAGTTTGTAACCTCGGCTATTCTGCAGTCTTTCTGCAGTGTTCAAAGATTTGACACTGGCATCCCCTGAGAAATTAAAAGTAGCAAAGTTTAAAACAACCTCCTGCTGGATTTGTGTTAGAGAAACTCATAGGGTAATGTTCTCTGAACACTCCCTTGGAATCTGTAATGAAGGGATTAATAAAAGCAAACTTGTTGGAAGTATGCCATAAAAACTTGTGAACAGTTTATTATGTAAAGTGTTGTAGTCGTGGGAAATGCCTGAACTTGAACAAGCTGAGTTTTGTAGCAAAAGGCCTGGGGGATTTTTTATGTTGCACTTAGTAACTGGCATTGAAATACTTGGTCCCAAGCCACGTGATGCCAGTAGGCTTCCAGATCTCTACTTAGAACTTGAATGGTAATGAATAATTAAGTGTAATACATCATTATTTGTTTCACCAAACTTCACTGTTCACATGGGGAAAAAGGTCTTTTTAGACAGAAATGGGATTATAGTTTTTATTTAATGTTTGTGAAAAAGGGATTGGATTTCTGGCATTGTTAATGTACATACGTTTGAGATTCACCCCTGCATCTTTGCTAGGGCAGCTGCACAAGGTGGATGCTAGTAGCTGTTGTGCAAACAGGCTCTTTCTAGGACTTGACAGGCAGTTGTGTGGTCACTGAACTGGCAGTCCATACAGCATGTATGGAGATGTCCTTGGGAGCCCTGCAGGGCTGCAGGAAACCTGCAGGACTTGACCTTCTGTGGTACAAAGGTTTAGGTTTGGTCTAACAGATTTGTGTAGCATTTGAATTTCGGGATACTTCATCTGCATCCAAAAACATTGCCTGATTAGAATTGTCATAATTTGTAAAATAGTCCAGATTCTGAGTTGTTAATCTCAAACACCCTAAATCCAAACATAACATTTTTGTTGCTGAAACATTTTGTGAACTATTAAACAGGACTGTCACTTTTTCTGTTTTGTTTGTTTGTTTGTTTTTTTAAATAATCTGACTGAAAAGTGTTCTTTCCTCTTGCAGTATTTATATCATGGGATTGGTACTGGAATGGATAAAGAATAACGGTGGAGCTGCAGCTATGGATAAACTTAGTTTAATCAAATCACGAATGATTTATGATATTATAGACAAATCTAATGGATTCTATGTGTAAGTTGCTATGCTTTTCCCTTTGGTTTCAATATCTGTTGCAGAGCCAAACATGTGAATAACTTCAAAAATATGCTGCAATCAGAATCTTAAAAGTTACCTTTTCAGTATATAGAAATCTTGAAGAATCCTACAGGAATTATTTGTGCAAACCATTCACTTGATAACTATCCAAGGATGAGTTTCATTCCAGTGCGAAGTTATTTCAAGTTACCCTATACAGATCAGTTGTGAAGCATATTAATAACATACGTTCTAAACTTAAAATGCAGGAGCCTAGGAGAAGAGTATACAAAACACAGGTATACAGATTCTGGTTTGTATGCTTACGGAATCTCTTGGGAAAATACTAGCCAAAACAGAGAAAGTGGCTTGTAAGAAGTTGCCGAGGCCACTTTTGCATGATATTCTTCCTACCATCTCTTTCAGTCGTCAAAGACTCTGCTTTTTCTCTGTCAAGCAGAGCATTTTTATTAGCTAATCATATGAAGTTCTGAAACACTTCCTGAAATAGAAAGAGGAAGATCAGACTTAGATGTAGTCAAAATGTAATAAATTTTCTTTATGTACAGTTTGTTTTCGTCAGTTATTTGTGATGGTTTTCCAAAGTAGATTTAACCCTCTGATTTTTACATATTGTTGCAACGTACTTTTGAGCTCACAGGACCCAAAATATGTATAGTTAAAAGCTGATGTTGTAATTTGGAATAATTCTGATACTTGCCAATCTCAAAAACTAGTATTTGACTATGAAACTGCAAAATATTTTCCTTCACCTTCAGTATAAAATCAACAGTTGTGGGACCTAATTAACTTTCAAATCAAAGTTAGGATAGGGCAAATTAAATTTGGATTTTAAATTAAAGCTGGCTGCAGACTTAATTGGCAGGGATATAGTTTCATCATAATATTTAATACATTCTGCTTATCCATTTAGTTAATGAGAACAGCTTTGCCTTTAGCATTGTCACGATCAGGATTGTGATCCTGCTCTACTGAAATCCTGAGGGTTTTTCATGAACCTCAGTAAGCAAATGAAGCCTTGAAAAAACATTTTGTGACAAACAGAAATCTGTTTTCTGGCAAGCTGGTCTGTGAGGCTGTGAGTGGGAAATGCAGTGCAGATGGGATGGTAAATAGTCAATTGGGAAGGCAAAGCAAGCTTCACTAACTGAGCTGTATGCATCTTACTAAGCAATACAGTTAAGAATGTGGATTTTTTTTTTTATTGTATCTATGACTAAAAGGAAGATTTATCTGAAGCTGCCTTCCCAGCTTAAATGTGCCACCTAATCTGTGGCATGCTTCACTGGGTAAGCAGTGTGACAAGCCATTTAGCAAATGGAGACTTTCTTCCACAAAATGCTGTGTGCTATTTGCAGTTTGCTTTCCAAAGTCTGTGCACTGAGTTACATCGGATTGCCTAATAGCAACTGGATCTTCTAAAAATTATAGCGTAGCTACAGTTATTCAGATACGGGAATGCTTACAAGCATAGACCTTTTTGAAGCATGTTTTCCTGGTTGTATCTGAAGCATAAAATTTGCATAGGCAGATATTATGATTGATTTTTTTTTTTTCTTCTTAATGGAGACATCTGTAAAAGGAGCAAGGGAGGAACTAAAAAAGAATGATACCCATTCTTTGTCAAATAGACTAATAATAGGTATGAAATTTACATGCAGTTTATGAGAAAGCTTATTGCTAATGAATCCCTGAAAGAATCTACATCACAGCCTTAGGAAAGAATAAATCTGGAGGCTTCATATCTCCTTTGTAACTAGAAGCACTACAGAAAAGTATTTAAATCCCCCTCCGCCTGCGTTCTTACCTTCACAAAATAATTGAAGAGAAATTTTGCTTTAAAGGTATCTTGAATTTTCTACTTTAGATTAAAGATAATTTTAAGTGATTAGAGCTGTGAAGCACCTCATATATGTTGTGGCCATGTGTGTAATGCAAGATTTGTTCTAGAGATACCTCTTTTCTACTTGATGTTTATGATTTTGAATAATACTAATGTAGAAGGTGGACTGAAACCACTAACAGAAGTTATGTCCATGGAAATTTCCTTGTGCTATGTTCTTATAATTCCTTTAGCTCTGTTTAGCTGAGTCAAGCTCTATTCTGGTAGCACTTGGACTAGCTGAGTAGAAAAAAGTGTGTCAGTCTTTGAAGATAAAGAGAAGAAACTGCTTGAGACGTAGTCAAAGTTCACTGTAACTAACCTCACTTACCCTGGGGAATGTAACTGTGACTGTTGTGGGTGGGGTGGTGGTTTTTATTATGTTTTTTTAAATTAGGTCTGTTTACAAGCCTCCCATGCATTCCTCTGGGCAGTTTTGAGTGTGTCAGGAGGGGTTAATAAGTCTTCCACTTACTGTTTCTGTTATTATGCTTGGTTAAAAAGGGAAGGTTGCCAGCTTACGCAGAAAGTAATGATCTTTTCAATTAGGGAGGAATGACTTCAGTGCTAAACAGATGCAATTACTCACTTTCTGAAATTTTGTATATATATGTATAATTGTGTATATATTTTGTATATATATGTATATATAAAATTATAAGTTTACATTTGTATATAGCTGCAAATGTAAATTTAGCACAAAATGGGTTAATCATTACATTCTGCAACTTTTCTAGATGTCCAGTGGAGAAAAAGAACCGAAGCAGGATGAATGTCCCTTTCCGTATTGGCAGTATCAAGGGTGATGAAGCATTGGAAAAGAAATTTCTTGAGAAAGCTGTGGAACTTAACATGATTTCTCTGAAAGGGCATCGGTAAGTATTAGTTAGATGAGTCCCTTTCCTGTGCAGAATAAGCTGTTACTACAGTGATACAGCAGCAGGCACTGTACGTTGACTTACCAGCCTCTCTCACTCACAAGCTGTTCCTCATATTAGTTTGGCATCGCTTGGGAATAGCAGTCTAGTGACAATAATCAGAGACTGCTGGTGGCTCAACTACTGCTTAGGTGTGGTGGGGCTCAGAGAGCTTTCTCCTTAATTCTGCTTTCTTCTCCACTTTGGTAAATCTGGCTCTGTGCAAATGCCAAAGAATGTGACTCTTGAGGTCAGATTCTGTCATTGTGTAAAGCCTTTCATTACATGGCTTGACTACCTGGTTGCAAGAGTTCCTTCCCATGTTCACTGGTGTTGGTGGGATTAAAAAGATAGCTGTAAATAACTAATAAATACTGAGCTTCTCTAGATTGCAGCCTTGCCTTGAAGAATTAAATGTTGCATCTCATTCACATAAAATGTGATTTTTTTTTTTTTTTTTTTTGTGGAGTAGAAGTAGGTTTAAATGTCTGTGAATGTTATTAATGTCTTTTTTAGAATTTACAAAACCTTTGTAAGTTTTTCTTCTCTCCTCTTTTCAATGCAGATCTGTGGGAGGAATCCGTGCCTCTCTATATAATGCGGTGACTGTAGAAGATGTTCAGAAGCTTGCAACATTCATGAGAAGCTTCATGCAGATGCATCAGTCATAAGTGCCCATGGGCTAGAGCCATGCTGCACATCTATGAAATAAAAGCTAAAGGGTTTGAAAGTTACTGTGGTACTGCACAGCTGTAGCACACAAGTTTTATTTTCTTTTAGTTTGTAGAGCTATTTTAGTTAACTAGAGGGGATTGAGGCCCAATCTTGCAATGACTTGGCAGCCTTGGCTTCACTGAAGGTGAGGATCCCCAAGACTGATCAAGATTGGTTCCAAAATTTGCAAAACAGTATTCTTAACGTGTAGGTAAAAACATGAGTAGTATTGTAAGATGCTGTGGATCTGAGTCTGTTTCTTGCTTCTAGTCACAAATGACTTCTGCAATGCCTTGTTTTCAGTAAACGTCAGGAGGCAAAATTTGTCATAAGCTTTCTGTAACGCTTTACAAATACTCTAACTGCACAGTGAAGCTAGAACTACTGTTAACTGTTCTCTAAGGAGATCTAGTTGGTTTATCAGATATATTCCAGCAGTATACCACCAGCAGTATTTAGGAGTTAATATCTGTGTTCTTAACTTGAGGACCTTGCCTTCAGACTTCTGCTCCCATGCTTGAAATACTATCATAAGTTCCATGTAGCAATACCCATTGTGGTTAAAGTCTCTGTAGGACTGGGCCTTTTTTGTATCATCATTTATTGGTTTAAAGCTAAGATGCATGAGTCTGTAATTAAATCAATTTATAAGATGTTGTTTATTTCTCTATGCATTTTGTATATTAAACTTATCTAGGTTATTAATTTTATATTCTTATTTTGCAGTGTGCATATTTGCTCCTGCCAAAAACTTTTTTAATTTGTTAACCTTATGCGAAACTAGATTGCTGTATTCCACTCAATGGACCTGTGACTTTCTCTGCACTGACTTCCTAGCCCAAAGTGCAGCAGACTTTCTTATCTGGTGCTTCTCACGTGTTTTCCCTCTCTAATTGCTCCAGTATTGTCTCTGCCTTTTCATTGCTTCAGTTCTGTAGCCTTTTGTACATGGGGCTTTGCCCAGCTGCAGTAAATACAAGTCTTGACTTCTCTGCATTTTCCTGACACTACATCACACATTTGGTCCAACTTTCTCACTTGATCCTTCTGGCTTATTCCAGACTTTGATACTCTGGGCTAGAGAAGGAACCATGGTTATGCAAAGATCTTCAGCAGATCTTCTATTATAGTACCCTTGAGTTACTTTTCCTTCTCAGCTTGTGAATTTACTCCAATGACCAGTACTGCCAGTGACACTAGCTTCCTATTTTAACTTATGTAGAAGCTACCTGCTAGTATCATAGTGTTTAGCATTACTACAGCTGGTTTCAGACTGTAAACTCTTTGGCACAGGATTGGGATTTTTTACGTTTATGTAACACCAGTACAGTGGTAACAATTTAATAATGATGGCCTGTCCCTTTCTTGAGGGAACCTCACAGCAAGTCAGTGGATTTATGCTAGGGTTGATTTACATTCCTATCTGAAAAGTCATCATTTTATGACTACTGTTTTGAGATTTTTGTCAACTTAATGTAACTCAAAGTAATTAAACAAATTGGGTAAAGAAAATAAAACTTAATCACAGCATGCTGTGAAGTACCTCTGTGTCTGAAGCTTTTGTTTTTGTCACTTTCAGAAGGATAAGGAGTCATGCATAATGTGTGTTAGAATTTTAAATTCCAGTAATAATCCTTTTCCCTAAAAACCAAGCTTCCCTCATTTATGTTTTATTTCTTTCTGAAAATAGTCTTTCTGATAACTTTCTAAAATTCTACTTCCTCTGAATTTTGTGTGCTTGTTTTCAACAGTAGCTGTGGCTTCTCCCTCTTTCCAGAAGCTGGTAAACCTTTCTATTTTGTAATAGCCTTGCATTCCCCTTAGCAGGCACAGTTTTATGCGTGATTACAAAAAAGCTTGCACTGCTGAATGCAGCTGATTCATGAACTCAACAGCGAACCTCTGCTGCTTCTGAATTGTGCCTAACATCTTGTCAATTAAAAACTTTTTTTTTTTTTAACCCAGAAAGGCAAAAATCATGTAAAAGCAAAATGCAGAGTGAAGACTGCATTAGCAGTCAGTGATTGCTTGAATATCATGTGAGGGGGATGCAGGAAT